TGGGGGCGGCAGTCATATTTCAGGGTGACCGTGCCACTCTTTATCACAACCCTGCTAAAAGTGCCAGTACGTGCGCTCATTGGCGCCCCTTCAGCTGGTGGCGCCCTAGGCGACCGCCTAGCTCGCCTATGCCTAGAAACGGCCCTGCGTGTCCACATAATCCATGTATGTTTGATGTCATTCTCACTATTCAAACTCAAATTTTATAACAGTAATTTATATTATATAAAATTAGTAACAAATAATTATAGTAATATAGCAACACCAGTTTTTAACCCACTTGTTTATTTATTTATTTATATTTCTCCAAACTATGGTCCATGCTCTCAAAACACAGACAAAGAAACAGACTCTTAATTTCGCTGAATAATTCAGTTCACTGCATAATTATACACTGAATTATTTTTCTAATAATACACTGAAAGTTAAAATATATTAAAACTGCCAACAACACAGCTGTTCTTTACTAAACACATAACACATTGAAGTAACCAGGGTTTGAAAATGAGTGAGGTCTGGGGTATGGTTAAGAATTGTGCTATCCACCTTTTTCCAGTAAGAGCGGCCATTTGTACATTTTATGGGACTGGCTTCCGGTGTCATTAGCTTCCAGCTAATTTTAAGCTGGAAGAAAACAGCTCCTTGTGCTGCTTGATATTGCAAACTGGTGTGACTTCAAACAGGAAAATTAAAGTTGGCCCACCACAGCTCCAAAAGTAGAAAAATATTTAGTTATGTTCTCACCACAGGTGAGGTTTCGAGCCTAAAAGCTCTTCATCATGAACACATACACAGAGGGTTGTAATGTTTAGTGTTATGTTAATGAAAGAGGACAGGCAAACACTGTAAAAGGGGTTCTTGGTAGCTAGAAAATGTAATCTGTTTTGTATTATTACTATTATTATTATTATTTTTTTTTTTAGTGTTTTCTTTTCTCTTTTCCTGATTATCTGTTACATTTTTGTTGCATATATCCTTGCACGTCAGTTACAACCCTGGAGATGTGGACAGTTTGAGTCAGCTATAAGGTGGTTTATTCCCCTCTTCATTTACTCATTAATTTGTTCACTTATTTATCTATTTATTCTTATTATTGTTATACCTATGTAACATATGCATCTTATACCTCCTGCTGCTATGTATCTGTTTGTTGTCTTGAAGATTGTTTGGAGAGTATTTGTCTGTGTGTTTCTGGGGGAACGGGAAAATAGTGTGAGATGTTTATTATGATGTTCCTTCTTGCTTCATTTTTTGCATATTTTGTTATGAATGCCAATTAATAAAGTATCAAAAAAGAGCTACATCATTGCCCATATAAGACCTTTTCAGGAAATAAGCTTTAATAATATGCTTCACATATCAGCCAAGGGCAGAGGGTGAACCAGCTCCATAAGTATAGCCTAAGGACACACATTTAATACATGGGTGGAGTGAGAACATAAGGTAGTCGTACACCGGACAAGAAGCGCCGGCCCGCGTCTAGGGCAACTCACAGGTGTTGCACCCAGTTCAAGACAGCAGTCCAAAACTGTTCATCGAAAAGTTAACTTCAGGAATTAACAAAGTTAATACGTAGAGTACGGTGTTTGACAAAACAGAGCAACAGAGTTCTGCTGTTATGTCCCCAGCAATGTCAAACGCAAGCTTGGTATTGAGTGAACTGAGTGTGTGCATTCAGCACTATATGAGTGCAGCTCATGCTCACAGGTGAGCCAGAAAGTCACTTTCTCAAGGGTGATGACATATTCAGGGATAATGACATATATCCAGGGCCGTATATATAGGGACATATATTCTCTGATTGAAAGGAGTCAAACTCGAGATTGATTTGATAATGTTTCTATGTTGATTCAAAGTTAAATAAGTGATTTTAATTTGAAGAAATGTTGAATTTTATGACAATCTTGATCTATTTTTCATCATTAAATTTCAACATTGATTCAGTGATAATGTGGTTGATGCATTAACGATTTGATAATGTTTCTATGTTGATTCAAAGTTAAATAAGTGATTTTAATTTGAAGAAATGTTGAATTTTATGACAATCTTGATCTATTTTTCATCATTAAATTTCAACATTGATTCAGTGATAATGTGGTTGATGCATTAACATTGAGTTATTGTTGATTCAGTGTTGGTCTGCGATTTATGTTGTTTCAGTCCTGGGATCATGAAAAAAAATGTGTTGGCACAACTATTGTTTTTTAGACTAATTTCTATATTGTAGAAGAGCAAATACGTTATATATATATATATATATATATATATATATATATATATATATATATATATATATATATATATATATATATATATATATATATATATATATATATATATATATATATATATATATATATATATATATATATATATATATATATATATATATATATATATATATATATATATATATATATATATATATATATATATATATATATATATATATATATATATATATATATATATATATATATATATATATATATATATATATATATATATATATATATATATATATATATATATATATATATATATATATATATATATATATATATATATATATATATATATATATATATATATATATATATATATATATATATATATATATATATATATATATATATATATATATATATATATATATATATATATATATATATATATATATATATATATATATATATATATATATATATATATATATATATATATATATATATATATATATATATATATATATATATATATATATATATATATATATATATATATATATATATATATATATATATATATATATATATATATATATATATATATATATATATATATATATATATATATATATATATATATATATATATATATATATATATATATATATATATATATATATATATATATATATATATATATATATATATATATATATATATATATATATATATATATATATATATATATATATATATATATATATATATATATATATATATATATATATATATATATATATATATATATATATATATATATATATATATATATATATATATATATATATATATATATATATATATATATATATATATATATATATATATATATATATATATATATATATATATATATATATATATATATATATATATATATATATATATATATATATATATATATATATATATATATATATATATATATATATATATATATATATATATATATATATATATATATATATATATATATATATATATATATATATATATATATATATATATATATATATATATATATATATATATATATATATATATATATATATATATATATATATATATATATATATATATATATATATATATATATATATATATATATATATATATATATATATATATATATATATATATATATATATATATATATATATATATATATATATATATATATATATATATATATATGTGTGTGGGTGTGTGTGTGTGTGTGTGAGAGAGAGTGTGTGTGTGTGTGTGTGTGTGTGTGTGTGATTTATCTCCATGATTCATTACTAGATTAAAATCGGTCTGCGAACTTCAGGTCACCTTCTTTTAGGAGTTGTCCGGATATACTCAAGGAAGTCCAGATACCTTCTCACAGACTGCAGTGATGCATTGGTCAAAATGAATGTGGCTTTCAGGCCAGGTGAATGCATCCTCATATGTGCCATCTCTGATTTTAAATCCGTCAGTGACAACAGAACGAGTGAACACTGCAAGAGAGCTCAACGATATTTCATTTTTGATCACAGGACAGACAGATCTGCCTGAGGATGCGATGGAGGCCACGTTAAAAGCTATCACTCTCCCAGAGGACTTCACTGACTTCGATTCCCAGCTGCCTGATCTCAAGTATCATGTTCTTCAACAGCTCTTTATATAGGTTTTTTTCCCCCGATATCATGTTTTTATGACTTATTTGGCATGTTATGTGTCACCCAGCACCATTGATGTGGTCGATCACTTCTCTTTGAATCAGCCGCACTGAAGATATTACCCTCAAAGAGACCTTTGAGAACCACTTTCTCACAATGGAGAGAATTGGTAAACCCTCTGAATGAACAACGAACCAAGTTTTTACATGAACTATGCAAAACTGTAGATGTTGATTATTGATTGTTTGGCTCTCGTTCATGTCACAGTTGTTGAGCCGGTTGTAACACTGTGTTTGTTTACCATTCAAAGGTGAGGAAATCCAGTCTTATCAAGGACTGTTTGATCAGAGTTTCAGTGTCCATGGCGACTGCTTTGGTGATGAAGAAATGGCTGTCGACCTCATTGGTACAGTATATACACGTATGAGTTTGCGACATGCACACCGAAAACACACACACACACATACTAATAAAAATAGTAATGTTTATGTGTGTATTTAAAGTCAAAATGAAATCAGAACTGGCATTATGTATTTTCTAATGCAGCATGTTATACAACAAAAAAAACGTTTTTTGTAATGCAAAAATAATTATAATTATGTTGCTCAATAAAAAAAATATATATACAGTGGGTACGGAAAGTATTCAGACCCCCTTAAATTTTTCCCTCTTTGTTATATTGCAGCCATTTGCTAAAATCATTTAAGTTATTTTTTTTCCTCATTAATGTACACACAGCACCCCATATTGACAGAAAAACACAGAATTGTTTACATTTTTGCAGATTTATTAAAAAAGAAAAACTGAAATATCACATGGTCCTAAGTATTCAGACCCTTTGCTTGTGGTCTGTCTAGATTTTATAGCAAATACTACTGATGATGCTGTGGTGCCTGATTTCTATGAGGACACCCCGAATGAATTACCAGCGACACCTCCTCCTACTGCTGTCACTGCAGAAGGGAATGATGGTACACTTATTCTAGATATTGCATTACATTATATTCTAGCCTTTGAAATAGATGAACAAGCATATTTCATTCTTATTATTAGATGGTTTTGGTCATATTAAATTACACACATACACATTTGCACTCAATTACATTTTTTTAATTTGCATTCTTAGTTTGTTCTTTTTTGCTGTCATACAGATTTAGTCTCAGTCATTTTTTTTGTCTCAGGAATTGTGAATATGAATCAAGTTTTTGAATTTATTTTCAAAAGGAAAAAGGCCATGTTTTTTATGATATCATATTTCAAACTTACATACAGTTGCTTTAGTAAAACATTGCATAAAAACACATTTAGATGTGTGTTTTAACTAACCACTTTGGATATGTAAGATTATAAAATGATAAATGGCTAATATCTGATCTTAATATTGTAAAGTTTTTATCTGTAATTTATTATGAATTGACCTTTGCTTGCAACGCTAACATTTACCACTGTGTCATTCTCTCAAAGAGCTGGAGTCTGTGAAACCAGGACTTTCCTGTTTAAAGGGTAGGAGCAGTCCAGCCTTGACTGAGACCACTTTCTTGGTAAATGCAGAGGACGGCTTTGCTCTTGCACCTGTTGCTGGCACACGTGAGTTTTAACAGCTCTGGCGAATATAATGAGCGGTAGTTTTGGACCTTTGCCTCAAATTGTTGTACATTGTTCACTGTTGAACTGTTAAAGGGACAGTTCACCAAAAAATGACAATTCTGTCATCAACGTCTCACCCTCGTGTCGTTCCAAACCTGTATGAGTCTTACTTTCTTCCGTGTAACAAAAGAAGATATTACAATGGAAGTCAAAGGTAGCCGAACATGTTTGATTTTCAACTTTCTTCAAAATATCTTTTATGTTCTACAGAAGAAAGAAAGTCATGCATTTGGAACAGCAGGAAGGTGAGTAAATGAATACAGAAATTTCATTTTTTGGATGAACTATCCTTTTAATGTTGGGGTTTTAACTGCTCTCAGGAAGCCACTAGAGGGTGCTGTTGACAACCAGGAATACAAATATTCACAAAGGGTTTGCAGGCCAGATCATGGTAATGAATCAGCTGCTGCAGTATATGCACTGTTTTTTGTGTTTAGCATGATGGCCTGCTGTGTTTGCCAAAAGGCATAATATGCAACCAGAGCGTGGAATACTGTATCCCACAAAGTCATGCAAATTAATGTCAACCACAGTTTTTCTTGACGGTTTTTATTGCACTGACATATATTAAGACATTTCTGCATAATACTGGATCACAAATACAGAATTGGCTTTTTATATTAATGTAGTGAGTTAAAAAAATATATATCCTTTTAGTTTTGGCGTTATATATTATATACTGCTCAGTAAGCATTACGCTAGTCTTCCAGATTTGCCATCAAGACATCAGAGCAGGGCCTAAAACTAACGTTTTCCCTCATCTGGCAATGGCCGGTGACTTTTTTTTATTTTTATTTTTTTTTACAGACCATGAAACTTTATTTCTTTAAAAAAAAAAAAAAAAAACCTGGCAGAGCAAATTGGGGATAACATCTAATTGCAACTTTTAATTATTAATATTTATTATTATAATTATTTAATCAGATTGTAAAATTAAACTAAAGATATCACTATAATACTATTGAACTGTAAAGTAGTTCATAATAATAACTGTGATATATATATATATATATATATATATAGCAACAGTAAAATTACAATACTAATATTCATGTTTGTTTTTTCTGTGCTTTCAAACATTAAACCATAGAGATTTATTTTGGCAGAAAACCACATAGAAACTTCTCTTTTGTTGACAACAGACCATTCTCATTACATTTGGAAATGCAACATGGACCAAACATTATATGCGACTCAAGCCCGCAGCACTTGCAGAGATGGAGTTCTTGTGGAGAAGCATTTACTGGAAACCGCCACAACACACTGAAAACATGCAGTCTGTTTTAATTTGATAATCGTGCTAATCCATATCACGTTTTCAGGCATTGTTAGAATTAATAAAAAAAAAGTTAATGGCCAACTGGCTATTAAAGCTGTTTCATATACTCGCCAGCGCTGGTTTTTGCTTACATTTGGTGGTTGATTAGTGTTAATTTTAGGCCCTGCCTCAGACTAATGGAAAGTTCAAACATGTGCTCAGCATCTTCAGCAAGGAAAAGAAGCACGAGGAAGCGGAAGCTAGTGATTGACTGGTCAAAGGAGCTAACAAACGATGACATCAGGAATCAACTGGCTGACTGCTCCGACCTTTTAACCCCATTGGATATAGCCCCGCCCACTCGGCAGCTCATGGAGTGGAGGGAAAAGGGAGGAGTGAAGCAGCTGTTCTCCAGTTTTTGTCTGCCACTCTTTCACCCTGACTTAAAGCAGGTATCGCCCACACCCGCAGCTGAAATAGTAGCTGAGCTCAACTGAAGTGCACAGCTGTCATTATATGGCCAGTATAGCATTAAGCAGTGCATCATGGGATATATTCCTCTCCCTCTATTCCTCTAGCTGTTCCCTTGTGGCACATCACGTAGGAGACCAGGCTTGGAGGGAGGAGCGAGACAGCAGACTGACCCTGAGGAAATGAGAGGGCAACCTAGAGAGGGTAACAAATCACATTGCATCAGACAAAAGCAGAGCTGATGAAAATCTGGTCCTGTTTCCATCTGGTATTAAGATGCATTTTCAGTCATCCGATCTCAAGTGGTCAGCTGAGACTAGGGAGGCAGAAAATTTGCGGTAAATTTCAGAAACATTCCAGAAATTTTGGAAACTTTCAGAAATTACCAGAAATGTTCCTCCCCTTTGAAACCCTAGTCGAGACACATTACTGTTTTAACCTGGTCCTATCATGCATTTTAAATGCATCTCTTTTGACCACTTGTATTAGGATTTTGTTTTTTCTCTGTACATCACTTTTGCTAGTGCGGCACACAAATACAATTGAATGATTGAAGCCACTATGCTGCTTACGAGCAAGCAGGAAAGAAAGTGAATGGAAAACATACAAATTCATTTTTGGATTAACTATCCCTTTAATGCATGTATAGGCGCCGGCGCGATGACTTTTGACATTTTTTTCCCCTGATAACAATTTAAAATACGGCATCATTTTTGCTCATACAGATAAGAAAAATGCATCATTCGAAATTGTAAAGTCTACTTTTATTTGTGTACATTCACATTAGCAACAAAATGTTGTGCTTTTTTAAAATAAAGAAAACAAACAGGATGCCCTTTCTGCCATCTCGGTCGCCGTTAACCGTGGAACTCGTCATATGGGCTACTTGCCTCAGACATCAGAAATATATCTATAGAAAGCTCGAAATGTCTAGTTCATTATGTAATCCGTACGAAAGGTGCAATTTTCTCTGAAGGCATGTCCACTGTACTGCGGAGATGGCGAGTCAGCATCGTTAACTTCATCTTTGCCGCAGACAATGACTCAGAAAACAGTAGTTCACTAATAAATATCTCCTTGTCATTTTTCCCGACACATTCATAGTCATTAATGCTTTTGCCGGTGCCTTGCGGCAAGCTTTATGTGTGCGCTTGAGTGCGGAACACGCTAGCTAGCCTATATGTTAGGCTCATTATGGTTTAGTATATATTAAGTAATTACATATATATATATATATATATATATGTATATGTGTGTGTGTGGGTGTGTGTATTATACATGTTTAGAACAGCATGAAGGTGAAATCTAAAAATTCAAAAATAAAAATATTGTCCTGATTGGTGTGTGTGAACCTGTAGCAGTCTGGGAGAACACAGCTCAGCCGGTGCTGGATGACTGGAGTTTGCTGCAAGAGTCTGTTGTTCCAGATCAACCTTCTGTCACTCATCCAGAACCTCCACCTCTGTGGAACACCAGCAGTGTAAGAACTACATATGCACTTAATGACCATTCAAGTCAACAAGAAGTCAAAATTGACCATTTACTGACTTTATACATGTTCCTGGTTTTATTGTGATTGATTCACTGCTCCAAGTTCATGATCGTTCATCAGAATGCAATGACTAATAATTTCACCCCCATCTCACCCTTTCTCTGTCACAGGAGGAGAGTAGGTTGGGGGTGTCGTATCCAGAGCCTGTCTCTGATATCTCCATGTTTGTTCATCCATCTGGAGGGACGAGGGAAACCCCAGTGACACAGGCACAGGTAGTGCTAAACACTCAACCACACACGAAACATCTTTTTCCATCAGGACCCCAAATAAACAAGACCTGCCACAACTAATCAGTAATGGACCTTTTTCACATTTCCATGTTTCTCAGCAGCGGAAGTCAACATAGTTGGGTAAAATTCTATAGCAGTGATTGGGAGACTATCACAAATATTTTTTTGCATTCCCATTTGCTCAAAAGGCAAAAGAAAAACTCCACAATAATGTTCGCAACTTTCAAAAAAAGGAAAAAACAAATAGAGAGATTGATATTGGCAGTTAGAAGAGAGATCGATGTCAAATTTACCATAGCTGCCATAGACGTTTGTATTAGAAACGCCCCTGAATTAGCATTAACTCGTTTTTGTAATTTGATGCAAAGGTAATATAATACAAAGCATTGTGTTATAAATGTACAAACATTAAAAAAAAAAAGAAAATATAAAAAACTTTGTAGGATTTACAATGCTGATGACTATTGAAATGGATCATAACAGTCTTGTTAAAAGGGTCCATAATTGCTAATATATAATAAACAATTTCAGTCAACCAGTGACATTTTTGCACTGTGCAATGGCGTCACTTGTCAACACCTTTAAAATTAGAGTAGCAATCCATCCAATTTGTCATATTTGTTGAACTCAAGTTAAACTACAACGTTCAATATTCCAGTAACTAATATTTCTAAAGTTTAACAAAATTACCTGGAAAAAAATGTTACACAGTCAAAAAACTGTATTGCTCCATTCTTGCATTCCATACTTGATCATTGCAGGATATTACATTGCCATCATTAGGCAATATTATTGGAGCTTCATTTTCAGAGTAATATTTAAATGCTATATGACACTTTATTCACAATTATTAAATCAACAATTTTGTAAAGAAATAAGTGGCTCTTACAACCTATTCTATGAAAAACTGAGATAGGAGGGTCCATTTGTGTTTTTGGTTGTTGCGCTAATTGTGACTTCTGGATTTTCTGAGTGAACCTTTCTGTCACTTATTATGTTGCTCATTGCAGCTGAGATGGTTTACAACCAGACATATCTTGCATTTTACTATGTTTACTATTGTATTCATATAAAGCAAGCATTTCCATTGTGTAATACAGCCTGTCCCAACAGTGAACGATTACCATTACATTTCAAATATTTCATAGAGCGTGTGCATGAATGTCAGTCAAATTGTTGCAACAGAGAAGGGGCTGCAAACATTTGAACCTGAACTAATGCTTGTTAAATTTACCATTATCAGTCTTATATGTTCATATACACTATAGGGCTGTCCAAAAAAATGTGACTTTCGAATATTCGTTGAATTTAAAATAAAAATCCACATTCGAATGCAAAAACGTTGCATTCGAATTTTAGGTGTGCGTTAAGGAGGCAGCCTTATCAGTGGCGCACGAGATGCGATGACGACGTAAGTGTCGTTGCATTATAATGTTTTTGTTAGCCTATCCTTTTGAAGCCACTAGATGCGGCGCTGCTGCGTTGTTCATTGCAAATATTGCAGGAAAAGAGAACATCAATGCGGAGAAGATCTTGTTTACGTCAAAACTGAAACCAAGCCGTTCACACAGAACACATATTTCGCGCATTTTCTAGAGGGACATCTATCAGCATTGCACTCGCGTCTCGCACAAAAGAGCCGCATGTTTAGAAAGCCATGTACAATTAATGCAAGTTCAACTTTGAAAAAACATATCTTGAGACTTATGGCGGGGGGTTTTCCCCATCCCACTGCATCTCATGTTTTTAAATTAAAAATGTAAGCCACTAGATGCGGCGCTGCTGCGTTGTTCATTACAAATATTGCAAGAAAAAAGAACATCAATGCGGAGAAGATCTTGTTTACGTCAAAACTGAAACCAAGCCGTTCACACAGAACACATATTTCGCGCATTTTCTAGAGGGACATCTATCAGCATTGCACTCGCGTCTCGCACAAAAGAGCCGCATGTTTAGAAAGCCATGTACAATTAATGCAAGTTCAACTTTGAAAAAACATATCTTGAGACTTATGGCGGGGGGTTTTCCCCATCCCACTGCATCTCATGTTTTTAAATTAAAAATGTTTTCTGTGTGATTGGCTTTCGGACTTTTGTATTAAACTATGAATACATACATGATGCTGTTTTGTTTATAGTTGTTTAAGCAACTTAATTATAATTGGTTTATAAACATTATTTTAAACATTATGCACTTTTTTCACAGATAGTCATGTTTTCTTATGCTTTGAATAAACGTGCATTAGTAATATTTTGCTCGATGCGCCCTCTTGTGGCCTCAGAAGAGAAGCCAAAAGCTTTTCTTCACCCTAACTGAAATTATGCATTTTAAATTAGAATATAATTCGAGTTTAGTTTTTCAGCCATTTTGACAGCCCTAATACTCTAATGTTCAAACGTTTGAGGTCAGTATGTTTTATTTTTGAGGACAATGCTTTTTTTCATCAGGGTACATCAAATTTATTAAAAGACTCGCAGAATGTTACAGAAAATGTCTTTTTAAAATAAATGCTGTTCTTTTTTAAATGTGTTCATTAAAAAATACTGAAAAAAATATTGCAGTTTCCACAAAAATATGAAGCATCACAATTGTTTTCAACATTAGTAAGAAATGTTTCTTGAGCAGCAAATCAGAATGATTTCTGAAGGATCATGTGACACTGAAGACTGGAGCAATGATGCTGAAAATCAGCTTTACATCACAGAACTAAATTAATATTTTCAAATAAAAACTGTTGTTTAATTGTAATAATATTTCTCAATATTACTGTTTTTACTGTATTTTTGATCAAGTAAATCCAGCCTTGGTGAGCAGAAGAGACTGTTGTGTGTGTAACATTTGACCTCTTCCTTTGTCTGCAGTCTGCTCTGAACAGCCAGGATGTGGAGGATAAGAGAATGACCAGTTGGGCGCACGACCTCCTCCTGGCCCTCAAAGTAAGGCATAATCAAACACCAAATCCACCACAGAGAGTGTTAATGCTGATCTGGCCTGGCGTGTGGAGCAGCTGTAGATGAGGAATTATGAGTGAAGAATTAAGAGAGTGGGACATTAAATGAGAGCAGCAGGCTTAAGGGCATAAACTCACAGTGACAACACCAGGTGTTAGATATGTGATCCTGGACCACAAAACTAGTCATAAGGGTCAATTTTTTGAAATCAAGGTTTATACAACATCTGAAAGCTGAATAAATAAACTTTACTCCATTGAACTATAAACTCCATTGATGTATGGTTTGCTAGGATCGGACAATATTTGTGGGGGAAGTCGTGGCCTAATGGTTAGAGAGTCGGACTTGTAACCCAAAGGTTGCGGGTTTGAGTCTTGTACCGGCAGGGATTGTAGGTGGGGGGAGTGAATGTACAGAGCTCTCTCCCACCTTCAATACCACGACTGAGGTGCCCTTGAGCAAGGCACTAGTTGTTTAAGCAACTTAATTATAATTGGTTTATAAACATTATTTTAAACATTATGCACTTTTTTCACAGATAGTCATGTTTTCTTATGCTTTGAATAAACGTGCATTAGTAATATTTTGCTCGATGCGCCCTCTTGTGGCCTCAGAAGAGAAGCCAAAAGCTTTTCTTCACCCTAACTGAAATTATGCATTTTAAATTAGAATATAATTCGAGTTTAGTTTTTCAGCCATTTTGACAGCCCTAATACTCTAATGTTCAAACGTTTGAGGTCAGTATGTTTTATTTTTGAGGACAATGCTTTTTTTCATCAGGGTACATCAAATTTATTAAAAGACTCACAGAATGTTACAGAAAATGTCTTTTTAAAATAAATGCTGTTCTTTTTTTAAATGTGTTCATTAAAAAATACTGAAAAAAATATTGCAGATTCCACAAAAATATGAAGCATCACAATTGTTTTCAACATTAGTAAGAAATGTTTCTTGAGCAGCAAATCAGAATGATTTCTGAAGGATCATGTGACACTGAAGACTGGAGCAATGATGCTGAAAATCAGCTTTACATCACATAACTAAATTAACATTTTCAAATAAAAACTGTTGTTTAATTGTAATAATATTTCTCAATATTACTGTTTTTACTGTATTTTTGATCAAGTAAATCCAGCCTTGGTGAGCAGAAGAGACTGTTGTGTGTGTAACATTTGACCTCTTCCTTTGTCTGCAGTCTGCTCTGAACAGCCAGGATGTGGAGGATAAGAGAATGACCAGTTGGGCGCACGACCTCCTCCTGGCCCTCAAAGTAAGGCATAATCAAACACCAAATCCACCACAGAGAGTGTTAATGCTGATCTGGCCTGGCGTGTGGAGCAGCTGTAGATGAGGAATTATGAGTGAAGAATTAAGAGAGTGGGACATTAAATGAGAGCAGCAGGCTTAAGGGCATAAACTCACAGTGACAACACCAGGTGTTAGATATGTGATCCTGGACCACAAAACTAGTCATAAGGGTCAATTTTTTGAAATCAAGGTTTATACAACATCTGAAAGCTGAATAAATAAACTTTACTCCATTGAACTATAAACTCCATTGATGTATGGTTTGCTAGGATCGGACAATATTTGTGGGGGAAGTCGTGGCCTAATGGTTAGAGAGTCGGACTTGTAACCCAAAGGTTGCGGGTTTGAGTCTTGTACCGGCAGGGATTGTAGGTGGGGGGAGTGAATGTACAGAGCTCTCTCCCACCTTCAATACCACGACTGAGGTGCCCTTGAGCAAGGCACCGAACCCCCAACTGCTCCCCGGGCACTGCAGCATAAATGGCTGCCCACTGCTCCGTGTTTGTGTGTGTTCACTGCTGTGTGTGTGCACTTAGGATGGGTAAATGCAGAGCACTAATTCTGAGTATGGGTCACCATACTTGGCCACATGTCACGTTACTTTTTTTTATTTTTATATTTGTTTGAGGACAATGCTTTTTTTCATCAGGGTACATCAAATTTATTAAAAGACTCGCAGAATGTTACAGAAAATGTCTTTTTAAAATAAATGCTGTTCTTTTTTAAATGTGTTCATTAAAAAATACTGAAAAAAATATTGCAGATTCCACAAAAATATGAAGCATCACAATTGTTTTCAACATTAGTAAGAAATGTTTCTTGAGCAGCAAATCAGAATGATTTCTGAAGGATCATGTGACACTGAAGACTGGAGCAATGATGCTGAAAATCAGCTTTACATCACATAACTAAATTAACATTTTCAAATAAAAACTGTTGTTTAATTGTAATAATATTTCTCAATATTACTGTTTTTACTGTATTTTTGATCAAGTAAATCCAGCCTTGGTGAGCAGAAGAGACTGTTGTGTGTGTAACATTTGACCTCTTCCTTTGTCTGCAGTCTGCTCTGAACAGCCAGGATGTGGAGGATAAGAGAATGACCAGTTGGGCGCACGACCTCCTCCTGGCCCTCAAAGTAAGGCATAATCAAACACCAAATCCACCACAGAGAGTGTTAATGCTGATCTGGCCTGGCGTGTGGAGCAGCTGTAGATGAGGAATTATGAGTGAAGAATTAAGAGAGTGGGACATTAAATGAGAGCAGCAGGCTTAAGGGCATAAACTCACAGTGACAACACCAGGTGTTAGATATGTGATCCTGGACCACAAAACTAGTCATAAGGGTCAATTTTTTGAAATCAAGGTTTATACAACATCTGAAAGCTGAATAAATAAACTTTACTCCATTGAACTATAAACTCCATTGATGTATGGTTTGCTAGGATCGGACAATATTTGTGGGGGAAGTCGTGGCCTAATGGTTAGAGAGTCGGACTTGTAACCCAAAGGTTGCGGGTTTGAGTCTCGTACCGGCAGGGCTTGTAGGGGGGGGGAGTGAATGTACAGAGCTCTCTCCCACCTTCAATACCACGACTGAGGTGCCCTTGAGCAAGGCACCGAACCCCCAACTGCTCCCCGGGCACTGCAGCATAAATGGCTGCCCACTGCTCTGTGTTTGTGTGTGTTCACTGCTGTGTGTGTGCACTTAGGATGGGTAAATGCAGAGCACTAATTCTGAGTATGGGTCACCATACTTGGCCACATGTCACGTTACTTTTTTTTATTTTTATATTTGGCCGAGATACAACTATTTAAAAATCTGGAATCTGAGGGTGCAAAAAAAAGCTAAATATTGAGAAAATCGCCTTTAAGTTGTCCAAATGAAGTTCTTAGCAATGCATATTACTAATCAAAAATTAAGTTTTGATATATTTACGTTAAGAAATTTACAAAATGTCTTCATGGAACATGATCTTTACTTAATATCCTAATGATTTTTGGCATAAAAGAAAAATCGATAATTTTGACCCATACAGTGTTTTTTTTGGCTATTGCTACAAATATACCCCAGCGACTTAAGGGTCACATATGTGATACATTTGAAATATGTTCTGTACACTGATCTATAATCGGGATATTATATAGATCAGTGGTTCTGTGATTTATATGAAATATAATCTTGTCCAAAATGGTCGTTTGGACAGTATGTGTCTTAGAAGGCACACTTAGACCACTTACACTGACTATCTGATGTATATTATACACAAACATGGCAGGATCGGTCTGAAAGTGCTAGTTCCAGTCAGTCCCAGTCGACTTTATGCAACTTGAGGGCGCTGGGGTGCACCAGTCTGCCTGGAAAGTCATATTTACAAGATACCAGGCTGATACAGTGACAACTGAACTGTGGTGGTAGAACTAATGACTGGATTTGCAGAACGACAGGATGTCGTTATTAAACTTTGAAGTAGATGTCCACAAATAGAAGTGTATATTCTGCTTTATTGTTCGATTGACGTGTTAAGTTTTGTTGTGTAAAAGCACAACAAACTGTGATTGGTCAGTTTTCATGTCGGTCAGACAGATGATTCAAAAACACAGTCAAAACAAAAGATTGGTCTTTAAAAGTACTTCTGTAGAAATTAGACAATTTTATATATTACTAGTGGAATGTTTCAGCATTTTTATTAAACATGCCAGTAACTTCAAAAGTTAGCAAACAAGGTAGTCAGAACACACATTTTTTTACTTGCCACCAAATAGGCAGAAGTCAAGTTTGCCTCTTTTGGGATTGTACATGGAAAATATTATAATATTTGTTATTTAATCATTATGTATCATTTTTTTGGACTTAGATATCTCAGGTGTATTGAATAACAATGTTTTATAGACATCTTTTGGGCTGTACAACCTTTATTTGATCCCATACAGCAATTTTCAGATATATTTTTCAATATAAAAATATACTAAATCACTAAAATGTCTAAAAATATATTTAATATTTTCTACAAATATATTTGTGTATTTAAAAAAATACATTTTTAAAGTATTTCAAACATACTTAGTGCTACATCAAAATAAATGTGTTGTCTATAACACATAAAAATAGTGAATAACGCCTAAATGTAGGCTACTGTAAGATTGGAAATGTATTTTATTGTCCCAGAAATGCATTTAGAACTATATTTTAGTATATAAAGTTTAATTTTTATTTATTTATTTAAAATTTAGCATATACAGTAATTAAAATATATTTTGGCCAGAAAACAAATTGTGTATATATGCAATATGCACGTTTTAGGAGTTAACTTAGTGCTTAACTGCTCTAACTTCTCGTTTCTCTTCAGAGACAAGACTCTTCTCCCAATGCCGTGTACAGTCTGCGTGCTTTATGTGAGAGCAGCAATCGTTCATATGTGGCAGCCGTATTTTTCTGCCTGCTGGTGTTGAGGAAACAACAAATCCTCAACCTGCACCAGAGCGCCCCATACAGGGACGTCATGGCCACACCTGGGCCTCTCTTTTCCTCCCTCTAGAACAGCCATGAAGCAACGGAGGGAAAACCTTTAGAGACCTTAGAGCTCATTAAAGGGCTTTGCAGTGTCATACACGTTCTTGGTTGGAAGCAAATTTGATGGATTTCTGTAAATATTTAGACATTGGGTTATAAATTCCCATAGAGACCTGCTAAAAAATGTGTCTGATCTATGAAATGTGTCTGTATAGTGTTATACTGTTTCTTAAAAATATATAGTATATATATAATACTCTGTATGAGCTGGGCTATGGTTAAAAATTACCGTAGAGCAACCCACAAAATATCAAATGGTCATTAATATGATTGTTTCAGTTTAACCAATTTTTATGAACTAAATTAACTAAATCTTTGTTCATTACTTGAAAAGTCAGTTGGCATGGATTGAAACTCAAGCTTTGTCTTTTCGTCTTACAGTTTAATGTAATAATAGGTATGTTCCAAAAACTGTTCTTCTCTGTGTTGATTAATATGACCTGTATGATCTTTTTACCCAATCCTTGAGACCATTAAATGTACAAATCAAATAAATATTGCAAAACCAAATTATAATAAGTTACTGTTTCTCTTGTTCCAAAAAAACTTTCACAAACTCTAAAGGAAAAGTTTAGAAGGATGTTCTGGCTGCTCTTGTAAAATGTGTGAATAAGGAATGATGCTATATTCAGCTCTGACAGTGTAAGAATCATTTTCATATTGTTAGTAGTATTTCAAGATGAACTTACTGGACTGAAGCAACTTAGGTTTACTTAATTATCCATACATTTTTTTATGGTCTTGTTAAAATATATACGATAAATCAGGCTAAGGACGTTTATTTGTTCATCTCTCATCATTGCACTGCATTATAAGTGTTGCCCACACAATAAAAACTACAGAGCTTTGATCATAAAACTAAGAGTTTAAATAGAACTTAGACATATTATTGGAAGTTATAGAGTGACAACTAATATGAATATGTATTTTATATAAGTAGTATGTTACACTCTTATAAATAATGATTTACATTACAAGCTATCAGAAATTCATCTTAACTTTTGGCCATATCAGCAACTGCACCAAATTGCATATTTTTTGCTCACTTTGGCCTCTGAATAAAATGGATGTGTTTTTTCCTCCTATGCTCCTGTATCATACTACATGGGTTGATTTTTAATATTTTCATGTCCGGTATTAATTGACACAACGGGGAGGACATGGCATGCTATGTTTTACGCTATTAGTTAAGTCTTAAAAGAGAAAAATGTGACAGGTTTTTTTTTCCTCCAAGGAATAAGTGTCATGATTAGGGCATATGCTTTACATTTTAAAAGATGTGTAGCTCCAGTGTAACAGGGTGAACTGGAGTTTAAGGGACATAAACTAATTAAATGTTTTAGACGCTAAAAAAAAAATATGTTGGCTATATAATAACTTGTATTTTTATATCAAAGAGAGTAAGTAAATGTATACACTAATGCACAATTTGCACATTTAGAGTTGTTGAGAAAACATGAAACACACATGCATTGTTTTCTTTGTGTATTCTGACATCTCAGTGTTCAGTGGCCTCGATCTTGTCTAGTGAGCATTCATACTTGCTCCAGTAAAATCGGTTCAAGCAATTGCCATAGACTCCCATTAATGAACGGCAATGGGTCAGATTTAATCACGAAGAGTCTGCATTTCAGAGGAAGCTGTCTTAAGGCAGTCGCCACTGGTGTGAACTAACGCTTTAAATGCTCAGAGCCACTAAAGAGAGATTCGGTAATCTGTGCTCATAATCTGTAAACAGTACAAATTGTTGTGACTACAGTTCTGCGGCTCTGATGATATAACCATTACTATTTTGAATAGTTGGTCTCTGTCCCTTTAAGAAACGCCGTCGCAGCGTCTCGTAAATGCGTCGTTTCTGTTTTCTCAGGTCTCGCGCGCGCTCATCATCAGCAGCAGCAGCATCAGCATCAGCAGCAGCAGCAGCAGCAGCAGCATCAGCATCCGTCCATCAAACGACTCGGGCGAAATGACGCCGCGCGCAGGGCACCGCCAACATCCATGCACAAACTTCACTGGGATCCTGCAAAGCAGCGTCGACGGAAGAAGAGCAGAGCGTGTAAGTGACATTCATCCCGGTTCACTCTTCTCTGTCATGAATTCTCTCGACTTACAGCTCTTTCATAAACTATATCAGGTGCTTAAAGGATTGGTGTAACTGCGTCTCTCAGCCTACTACGGGTTCTTTACACTAGGCGTATTATGTAATATAGTTTTACGCTGAAGAAAGTCAACGCCGCACTGTTGCAGCGCGCGTTTCAGTCTCAGACCGGTGAAGAGTGTTCTGCTGATGTACGATACTGTTACATAAGACAGCTCGTGCCCTTTACTACACAGGGACGATTTACCTGCAACCTATGGGGGAGGTGACGGCATGGCCCGCTCCTGAAACCATGGAAGTTGTGCATCTAGGAAAATGTATCATTCTTGTAAACAAAAATGTAATCTTTATTTGCTTGTTATACTGTAGTACAACCCTGTGAGGCAGACTTAACCATGGATATGTCCCAGATATTTCAAATGTGGGGGCAAAAATAACTATCTATCTATCTATCTATCTGTCTATCTATCTATCCATCATCTATACATCATCTATCTATCTATCCATCCATCTATTTATATATCTATCTATCCATCATCTATCTATCCGTCCGTCCGTCCATCCATCCATCCGTCCGTCCGTCCGTCCGTCCGTCTGTCCATCCATCTATCATCTATCCATCCGTCCGTCCATACATCGATCCATCCGTCCGTCC